GTCGTAGAGTAGATAATTTTTGTGCTGTTAAATACTTTTTAGAACACCACAAGTTCTTATGTTATATGAGAATTATTAATAAATCTGTGACACTGCCCTCCAATCTCTCCATTTTAGTTTTGATTCAATTGATAATTGCCGGTGGACATCGAGGTCTCTTAAAATTGAACAAAGTTTGAGGTAAGGATTCCTATTTATTATTATTGTTATTGTTTATCACAGTTAATGTTTTCATCTGCATTTCTGAACTCGTGTAAGAGAATTAGGCTTGTCTTCTTTCGAACACAGTTTCAAGTAATTTTGCATTGATTTCTGTTTATTCACGGCATCATTTATAATAAAAGAATATTCCAGCAGGCAATTATCATTTTAAAGGAATAAAACGTGTTTCGTAGCCCAAAAAATATATGGATGCTAAGAAGTGGGGTTTATATTCTGAATAATAATTCTAACACTTTTCATCTCTTGATACATCGACATTATTAAAGCGTTTTAGGGAATTGTGAAAATTTTTATTTCGGTTTTATGAGCCTAATTTTTGACGAATCTCCCTCTTATTATCTCCCTACATCAACAGATTAAATCTGGGAAATACTTGCTATTATTGAGTGCAAAGAATTTATGGGTGCAAAACGTGGTATTTCTGTTTGAGGGAGGAACATAGACTGAGGGTCTCTGAGAACGTAGTGTTGAGGAGGATATTTGGAACCAAAGCGGGAGTAAGACAGATAATAGAGGAAAGTGCATTACGAGCTCCAGGACCTGTGCTCCTCACCCGATGCTGTTAGGTACGGGTGGGCAGAGGAGGGGTGTTCACAAGGCCTGAAAGGAGAAGACCTCTGGGAAGACCTCGGCGTAGGTGGGAGGATAACATTAAGATGGATCTTAGGGAGATGGGACTCGATGGAGCGAACTGGATGCAACTGGCTCAGAATAGACCCTGGTGGCGGGATTTTGTGAACACGATGATGAACCTTCTGGTTCTGTAAAGGAAGTGGCCGAGTTCCAATCGACTTTTCATAGAATATCTTGCACATTGCAGTGTGTGAGTAGAGTGAAGTAGGCCTGATCTACGCATGCGGTAGAACAACATAGAGCTTTTGTGATTGTTCCCAACTGTAATTCTCGCGTTCATTTGATAAATTTAAGTTACATTTTGTGCTTGTAGTGTATATAAATGTGTAACTTAGGCAGGAAAATCCTTAGTCATGTAAGTGCTTAAGCACTTTTAGTTCTACAGAGTGAGAAGTACTCGAATTATTTATGCTTATGAAAAGGTGTAGCCTTCTGTTTCCAAAATTTGTTTGTTAACTGTCTGGTTCTGCATCAAAGGTCACGCAATTTCAATGGCATATTCTTGTCATGATTGTTTATAAATCGATTCACCAGAGTAGGAGTATCTAAGACTTTATAAATTACTTTTATATTTTATACGTAATGTCTGCGTAGATTAATGGGCGAGAGGTGTGCACCGGGTATTTTTGGAAAGCCTGAGAAGAGTTCGCTGGGGAGACCTAGACGTAGATGGGACGATAATCTCAGGCGGGATCTATGGGAGACAGGAATTGAAGGAAACTGGATTTTCTTGGCCCAGGACAGGGTCCAATGGAGGGCTTTGGTTAATTCGGTGCTGAAACTTCGTGTTCCGTAAACCGTCAAGGTAATTTGTTAGATTAGTCACATTTAGGGATTTTTCATTTTGTTTTGTATCTCAAAAGGCATTTCTATAACAAAGAAACAAACTGAGTCCATGGAGCAGAAGGCCACCTTGAGAATCTAACAGTAGCACAGGTAATCATGTACCTTGCCTTTTATGAAACATAAAGTTTCATGTCGTGTTTACAAGACCCCGCCTGTAAGCCACATCCACAAGCAGATGAAGTCAATCCACACCTTAATTCCCCACCTCTCTAAGACCCATTTTAATATTATCCCAGAAACTCATTGTATTCTCAAGTGACCTTTTCCTTTCAGGTCTGCCGATTATAAAGTTGCACTTCTTGTCTCTGTCATGTGTACTACATGCCCCGCCCATCTCATCACACAAGATCTGACAGCCTACAATTTATTAATTAGTGAAGAGGTCTATAAATCTCCATATTATGCAATATTCACCGTTCCCTTGTCAGTAACTCTCTCGCAGGACCAGATATTCTTCTCAGTACCGTGTTCCCTCTCAGTCACTCTCAGTTGATGTGCACACGCGTCAGTACGAAGAGAAACCTGTAACAGCGATGGACTGTTTTTCAGGAGATGGAGGCAAACCAACATCGGAGCTGTTTCCAAGTCGGCGGCAGGTGCAATTGCACCGAAACATTGGTCCCTCTGAACGAGCTGAGAGAGGAGAACCGCTTGTGTGACGCCGTGTTGAGGTTGGAAGATGGCGGCGTCTTTCCAGTCCACAGAGTGCTTCTCTCGATGCGCAGCCCATATTTCAGGTTTGTTGATTAACATGCGAAATAAGGACATAATAGACCTCAATTCGTATGTGAAATGTTTTATTCTCTTTGCTGCAGAAACCTTTATTTTTATACGGCTAAGTGTCTTTTGTTATTTGTTCATTGTCATGAAATCTCACGGGGGTGAGGAAGAAGACTAATGTCTCCTGGATGTTGCGCCGTAGAAACTGAGTGGCATTTCAGACGTTATTACTGCCTTTCCTTGATGATGGAGGCAGTAAGCACCTCTGAAACGTCCGATAATTTCTACGGGACAACACGACGAACATCACGGAAGACGTACGTAGTTTCTTGTACTAATTTTTAAGTGCGGTTGTACCAAGGCGACAGTCAATCTATCTGGAGGGAGTAATAGAATCAATCCATTTCCAAAACGTCTTAGTTTTAATACATAAAGACGACCGACAAAGGCCAGAAGAAAGTTGGTAATGCACTTTGTCACGCTATTGTCCGAAACATTGAAAGCTGCTGTGTGTGTTGCTCTGTCTGAAATATAATAAACTGTAACAAAGAACTTCGCGAGAAATGTTTCATTGTTAGGAGAGAATTTTTCGAGATTTTGTGCATTCGTTAATTTGCTTGTGTTTTAAATAAAGATGCGGTGCGTTCTTGAAATGAGAAATGAATTATAACCTTGAAACATTGTTTCTGTCTTCGAACAGACGTTTCTCACGTCATGTTACAAGCTGTGCCCCTCTTTCAGTTTTCCGACAATCAAAGCTTTCCGTTTGTCTTGCATTGCGAAGCCCTTAATTTGTAATAGGAAATTGTTTGCTGGTTGGTGATCACTTTTTAAAGGCCATATAGAAACATCGGCTTTTCTTTCGAAGTTCTTTATTGCCGGGAAAATGTTTTGACAGGACAAATAGATTTCATATTACGAACTGATCAATCAGTGCAATGTACAACCTGTGATGTATGTTGAAATATTTGTTACTTTGCTCGCTGGCTTTAACTTTCTGTAATAGTTGTTATAATCTCAGATATCTCTTGAAGGGGTCAAGGTATGTAAGAATCGAGGTGACCATTCTATAGTACAAATGTTCGCTGATTGCTTTCCGATTTGTACGATATATTCTGTTAAGCCTACTCAAGCTCTTCACCCTCTCGCAGTTAATCTGGTCCCATTAGTACATATTCTGGGGGGGAGGGGGGTTTGAATTATTCAGATAACAAAAATTCATCCTCCACATTGACAAAAGGATACTTTTATTTGGTTACTTAAGTTATAAAAACTAAAAATTTATGCACATGACTTGTAATTTTCTGCTCGCCGTTTCTCCAAATCGACGACTGCTCCGTGACATTTCAGGAACCTCTTCATGACAAAACTGCACACCAGTGAGGAGACTGATATTCTCCTCCGCGGAGTCAGCTCAGACATGATGACCCTGATACTGGATTGTGTTTATTTTCGCGAGGTGGGCATCCGCTCCTACAACGCGCGTCAGCTGCTCGTGACGGCTGAATTCTTGTGTATTCCGGACGTTTCTAAACTCTGCTGCGACTTCCTCGAGGACGCGATGGCCGCCGAAAACTGTATCGGCATCTTGCAGTTCGCAAGGTAATTGATGTTCATTTGTCATTTGCTCTGACGCCAGCTTTCGTCGCTGGAGCGAATCACCTGTACTCAAGACAGCGGCCGACTGTCGGGTCGGCGATTAATACCTCTGACTGGGGAATGGGCAAATTATAAAGCGTTCTAGGTCAGGGCTGTTGGCGGGTTATTATTAAAGTCCCTGAAATTCAAATGTGCTGATTTAACTGCGTATATTTTGATCATCATTATGACCAGCCGATGACTTATTGCAGGGTCATAATTAAATCTGTCTTCCTCTCGAATTCCTTATCTTCAATCTTTCTTTCTCTGCGGAATTCCTTGCTTCTTACACAATCCTCACAATATTAAAATGAACATTCAGCCCCACATCATTCTGCATACAGCAAAACCTCTATTAATAGATCCTCGATTACCCGATTCCCGCATTAAGCGACCGAATTTCAACCAGATCAGTTGAGATAGATTTCCACCGGCGAGTGTTTTTAAAGCGATGTCCACGCGGCACAGTTCATTTATCTAACCCCACACCCAGATTTTGCTGATTATTATGAACACTTCTGGACATTTAGAGAATTGGTTATTATGATGAACATATATTCCTTCTTGTTGAGGACAACATAGCAAGCAAATCAACTGACATTGGCAGAATCACACCAGAAACTCCAGCTCATGCGATGGACAGAATGACTGGTAAATCCACTGTTTTAATACAGGGACAGCGTTCACGACTGACTTTTGCTTGTGCGTGCGACACGCCCGCATCATCCGCCGACAACGAAAATCTGTATTAAATCTCTACTTATTTGTTCAATTCCATGACCACGTTCCCCTTTCTCTCGCTCGTCTGACTTATCGGCTTATCCGACCCGTGATTCCCCCAATATGTGTCGGTTACACGAGGTTTTACTGGATTAACACACACAGTTACCAAAACGTCGTTTCGCCAAGGTTAATGCCAGAATTAAAAATTAAACACTTCTGATCTCACTGCCTTCTTCACTTGCGTACGCCATGCCCTTGTTTCAACCTATATCCTTATCACGAGGACGAGCGGACATTACCTGGGTACCTTCAGAGCCGAAAACTTTCTATTTTGCCCCGGTTAAACGAAGCGTCTGTCATCGATGCTTCCCCACGTGCCTGCTCTCAGTCTCACTCATTCGGGCTTCAAAGGGCTAAGGTAAAAACCTGAGGCGAAATACTGTGGTGTGCAAATAGTTGAGAATCCAGGTCTTGCTGCAGTGTTTCAATGTGTCAGAATTCGAAGGAGATCGATTCTGAGTCGGCTTTTACCCTCGCTGTCTCAGGTTTCACTCCATCGCCGACCTCGAGAATCGCGCTCTCCGCTTCGTTTGGCGCCACTTCGTGGAAGTGTCTCAGTACAGCGAAGAACTGTTGGAACTGCCTGTAGAGGAGCTGCAAGCGATAATCGAGTCCGTGAAACTGACCGCGGAGGAAGAGAAATTTGTGTGGGAGTGCATTCTCCGGTGGATCAATCACGACTCGGACAACAGGAAAGGCCACTTCGCGGACCTTCTGAAGGGCGTCAGACTTGGACGACTTGACGCAAAGTTTTTCAAGGAGCAGGTCAGTATTCAACTGATATCGTAGATGTCTATGGGAAATAAAGCCCGCATTTCCAATTCAATATTCACACGTTCGTAACCAATTAATGCAAATTGTGAGCCTTTTTCTTCGTCACGCGTAAGCCCGTCTGTCCGCAGTTCCAGCTCGAGAATGTCTAAACGGATGTTCATTAGATTTAATACTGATAAGCTTTAACAGAATCTGTTGACACATTCCAATTCTGGTTAAAATCTTGCAATAACAACGTGAAAACTACACAATGATTTGAATGCCTTATTCTGCGTAAAATTTCCTGCGTAAGGAATCCCCATTTTCAGTTAGTTGCCATGGTTACAATAACGACCTGAGTAATGCCGCTGGTAACACGCTCGCATGTGTGTGTGTGTATTTGCAAAACAAATATTTGTTTCGTCCTTTGATGCAGATATGTGGGAAGAGTTAATAATCGCCTTTTATTCATCGTCTGTAAGTTTGACAGTCCGTCGGCGCTACAATCTTCGATTACAGTCTCGTCGTATATTAAGATCGATTTCGTGTTTAAGTTTAACTACAGCATTCCACCGTTAACTACATTCAAACGTTCACTCAGCTGGAATAGGAAAGTCCTCCACAGTTAAATCACGTCTTCTGGCGTAGCGTTCTACTTAACCAATGCCATAAGAAGCGTGTCTTATCTGCTCTAATACTTTCATACTCTCCGACGATATAGATATACAGTCAATCCGAGATCACTTCAGAGTGATAATCTTTAGCTGATTGACCACATAGGGACAACAGATATCCGGAAAGTACAGCAAGAAGTCTTCGATCTACATCCGAGAGTAAATTACCCGAGGGGCTTCAAATTCATAGACAGCTTGAACAGTCTAATATTTTAACCGTCATCTCACGAGCAGCCATACAACTTATGATATTCCTTTTTCCATTTCAGCATGCGCTTTAACCCCAGAGAAAAAATATGTCTACTCTAGGTCAAATGCAATGTAATTTCAGACACTCATCTCTTACGAATATTTGTGAAACAATCGCAAGGATCCATGAAAATAGTATCTGGGTCAAATGTCTTTACAACTTATCATTCGTATCTACTAGTTTCCAACACTTAAAGATAACTACCTGATGATGGCCAATTAAGGTCGAAACATGCAATGGCTCTTAATAGACATCGAGCCCATAATCATAAGCTTTTGTGTTGACGGGCCTTCCACCCAACCATCAACATGTAGCAGGTTGCCTCACTTGAAACTCGAAGCAACTAATTGTCATAATTTTTTTCGATGTTACGTAATTTTGACGATTAATTAAATTTATCGAATCGAAAGAATGTGGTGATCGCAGAGTGCATCTCGCACGGGAGAGACGAGAAATAAATTACAATTTTGAATGTAACTCAAAATGCAACCCTTACTGAAGTATTTTACTTTCGGTTAAAACACATTTCGATAGTTTTCTCTAAGATCGATTTGAACTTGATTTCGCTTCTCTCCACAACATGTGCATTTGTTAAGAGCGTCATTACATAAACCAAAGTACATATTATCCTATATATGTCATAGTCTATTTCGGTGAGTTCCCAACCATAGTATGTGTGAATTTCTTGTCTCCTCTGCAATGGAACGTGGCATCACTTCCTGAAATTTCACAAGGTCCACTTTGAACTGTTCAATAGGTATCAAAGCACAGGTACGTGACGGAATTTAAGGCGTGCAGACCCGTGATCTCGGAGACGCTCAAATTCCTGGACGACGTGGAAAGTTTGACGAAAGAAGACAAGGACCTCGTTATACCAAGGATTGCCCGGCCGCGAATCCCACAGTGTGTTGTGTTTACTATTGGTGGGAGTTATGACGGATTGGTTTCAGATGTGATCGAAGCGTACGACGAACGAGTAGACCGGTGGAGTGTGGTGAGTTGCGTGCATTTCTACTCTACCCTGCCTTGTTAAATGACGCGCCCGAGAAAAAATACTTTTCATCTTTTTTGCTTATTTTTACTAAGCAATTGTTTATTTAAGCTTAATTACAAGAACTCTTAGCCAATTTATTTCGTGTTCGTTTATTTCCATTGCAGTGAACCCTTTTTTAAGAGACTGAATTAAAAAGAGTAAATTAATAAATTACACACATGCTGAGTCTCATGTAAAATGCAGGTTCTAATAGGAATCGACGAAGGATGTGAAGTTTTCCTTAAATACCGTTTACAATAAGCGTCCTATGTCAACTGTCATGGCAAGCTGTCTGCTGATTTTAGACATCGTTGATCGTCAGTGGTTTCAACGTTATAAATGAAGCACTGATCATTGTCGATGTCTGCCATCTGCTTGGTAACGCCTCGTGAATTAGAAGGCAAGCACTCTATTAGGGGTGCGGTGGGGGACGTACTGCCTCCAGCTTTGCGTCGATGAAACCCTAAACACCAACACCTGTCCTTTCCAAAGTACGAACCTGAAATGTCAGCTGTTGATCAGAAATTGATTCTACATTTGTCTGTCGTACTTGACGAGAGCTTCTCTTCGGGTCTTCCTGTTTCCTCCGCCTCTCATAATTCCACGATTGTTCCAAGTTTATTTCTCACGGTCTTTGTCGAGTATCACCCACCACGGCATACGAATTTCGGTCCAATGTTGGGGGTTGCCCCTCTACTACGGTGGTTGGTCGCTTGGAATCTAATGTAAGGACTTCACATCACTAGACCGCATGACCCAAAGAAACATAAAGCCATAAACTGTCGTTCCTGCAGGTGGAGGGGGTAGACTCGATCGGTCCGCGAGGCGAACATGGCACGGCAGTAGTCGGTTTCAACATTTACGTCATCGGTGGTACCGAAAACGGCTTTGAAGGTGTAAGCTCCTGTAGCTGCTTCAACGCTGTTACGAAGACATGCCGCGAGGTGGCGCCTATGCATAAACGCAGGTAAGATGCAACTTAGTAACTGAGGAAATCCTTGGAACAAAGTCCCTCTTAAAAAGCTGATTGTCGCTCCGTTAGTCAAGATATAAATGTGGGCAGGGCCTGTAAAATTGTACCACTCACATAGAGGATCATCGTGCAAAGTGTGAATAGATAGGAAGACCTTTGCGACAATGTTAATTTTAAGAATACTATTTGCTTGTTAATTCATTTGGATTGTGATTTAACAATGACGAGCGAAGAATTGCGTTCTGCGAGAGGAAATGCATCTGAATGAGCAATGAATGAGCATAGCAGAGCGTGTCATTTTTTCGTTTCAGATACAGATTAATGGTGGCAGTTTTGCGAGGTGCAGTGTACGCCATGGGCGGTAAAAGTAGTCAGAATCAGAGAACGGCGGAAAGATACGACTGCAAGACGAACCAGTGGTCTTTGATCGCACCCATGAACACGGGTCGTTTCAATGGAAGTGCGGCTGTACTGAATGGTACGTAAATGCCGTGAAACAGAAATTAGTGAATTACTGCAGAAGGCGAGGCGTCTGTCTGTCTGTTTGTCTGTCCGCGTCTAATAACGCAAGAACGGTTGAAGGAATCGCAGGATTTGAGGTTCTCACGGCGGCGAGTAAGAAGATGGCCGTCGTTTGGCTTCTGCCAACGTATCAGACGAACTGTTTGCCTTCGTCATTAAGGCATTTCTCTTCGTTCTTGATGTTAGATTCCTTCACTCCACTGTCCCATATTCTTTTATTATCTCTTTCCTTTATCCGTGCCACGTACTACGTTATTTCACAGACTGCAACGGCTTGAAGTTCTGAGTGCGTGACGGTTTCTTCTGCTCTTGTAAGCTATCCCTGTGCGTCGTCTTCTGCCTTTGTAGTGTGCACTAGGAGTGAATGCAAACAACCATCAAATTGGCTCTCAAATAATACAGATTTAATATGTATTTCAGACAGTTAATAATCTCATTTAAATAGCGCATTGTATTATAAATGTAGAGCTCCGCTTGACATCTCGTACCGTACATCTGTGGCACCAAATTTAATAAAATTCGTTTCACAGAAGACGTAACTTACCATCATTTCCACTGTGCATTAAATTAAGCACTTCATGCTGTTTATATTAAATTTTATCATTTAAACTCGTTTCCTTTGCCACGCTGATTGTCTGCATTCGAGACAAAGAAACAGATGAACAGAGACAGCCGAGTCTGTGCAGATTCTGTGACTCGAAGGGGGACATTAAATACAATATCATTAATAAAGTTACAAATTTATGTACGGATTGTTTCATGTCTGTGTTCCGCATGGACCAATTTACTTATAGCTATTTTGTTTCTACAGACAAAATATACGTCGCTGGTGGATGTAAAGGTGAGAAGTCTCTAGACTCTGTAGAATTTTATGACCCGGACACCAACCGATGGACGTACGTTGCAAGAATGCTTTCTCGACGTGAACGTTTTTCTTGCGTCGCCTTCCACGGCTGTCTGTACGCCCTAGGTGAGAACTCTCGACATTCTGAGTCATGTCCCTCTATCCTTCTTACAGAACTTCCTATTGTGAAATGTTTTCCTGGTGTTTTTGAGTGACTGAGGTTTTATGAACAGCATTTTTCTCCTGTCATTACAGAGTTTATTTGTCAGTAATTTTACCTCGATTTGTGGTTTCTATCACATTCTCCACAGGAGGCAGTATGACCTCTGAAACGTTGGTTAACATCGACCAGACTACACAGCGCAATAACCCAGAAGACGGATATCTTCATACTCACCGCTGTGAGAACCTCAAGTCTTACAACGTAAATAATTTGTTCTTGTAGCAAGGAAATTTCAGTTTGCCGTTCTGTTATCCCCAAAAACCCGGCGGTTTAAAGCAGTCCCTTCGCGGTCTCTGCTTTTCGTCACTTGTTTGTGTAACGCCGTTTTGAACAGTGCATCTTGTGACGCTATTTTTTCCTACGCAGTTTCATGAAGCAGAAAACAGATGTCAGGCGCAATTTCCTGATGCTACATGTACGAAAATATTATTTTAGCTATTGATCCTTAATTTCGTTTCTAGTACTAATATTAACACTGCAAGAAGGATTGAATTTTCTTCGTTGCATTTAATTCATTCGTTCCGTTTACGTAATTACAAATTTTAAGATCGTAAAGTCCGTCGGGTAAGACGGATGGAGTGTGAAGCACGGAAGATACGAGAAATACATGCATGTAGAAAGTTATAATTGGTAATGTTAAAGGTAAGATACCACTTGTGATAATAGTCTTAAAAGGAAGGATAATATTAAAATGTTTTAAGGAACTAGAGTATGTGGGAGGGGTTCAACTACCTACTTTTGTGAATAAGGTAATGAATCTTGTGGCTCCATAAAGGTCGAACATTTCGGGGCCAGGTGACAGAGTAATAAACATCAAGGATGGGGTTAGAATAAGTTCGGCTTGGCAGCTTTTCTTTATATCCTGTGACCTATTACGGAATGTGTGTTTGTGTGTGTGGGCAGGGGGACGCAACAAGTCATCATCCGACCTCAGTACCGAGAAGTATGACCCTGCAGAAGACACGTGGACCGAGATCCCTGCCATGAACTTCTATGCTCATGAGTTAAACGCAGAAGTGATCGACGACACGATCTTTGTCATCGGTGCAAAGAATATCGATCATCACTTCGCCTCCCACGTCGCATATCTCAATGCCAAGGAAAATCGATGGTTTGTTTCTTTGATTGTTCTGTTCTGTATAATTACAGACTGCTACTTTCGAAAAGCACTAGGAAGTGAATCATTTCCCGTCAAAACAACCGCAATCTTGTGGATACTGCGCCGTGTAGTAACGTAGAAAATGATCGACGTTTCAGAGGTTCTTACAGCTTAATCAGGGCCTTGAATACAATGCGCGAAAAATGGGTGAGATGAAGGGGGTAGAATGAAAGCAGGCAGGGCGATGTTGAAATCAAGCTGATTCGTTAAAGCAGAGGGCGAAGGACTAGGAAATGCTAATCAGACGTAAGCTGTAACTGCATTAAAAAGAAGCTCTTTGACTAAGTTTCTTTGATCAGTGGCACTCTCATGGGCAGGAAGTTTCTGGCGTTCAGCACATCAGCATCGCCATAATCTTCGATTTCATTAAGGGTTTTAGGCCAGTTTCAGGTTTAATGACGCCTATCGCCTCATGTTCCCATTTCTGATAAAAATTTATTTTAAAATGGCTGTCTCTTAGCGTGTTTGACCATGAAGTCTCCTGCTATCTGTTGACGGAGTGAGTAAGCAGCTTCAAAAATATTCCAGAAAGCAGATTTCTTCATACTCGACAGTTCAAGAGCCAGATATCCCACAGAAATTCATTTGATTTTGGTTTATGTCTGTTTTACGTCTAGCAGAACCTCTCCAGAACTACTTTTGGTGGGACAAAATCTTTTTTGAAAATATATTGCTAAAAGAGGGAAACATTATCATGGGCGCAAGTCTCAAACAAGACACGCTTAACTCTCCAAAGTAAGTGTGTGATTAAATTTATTATTCTGACGGAAGGTAATGGCTTAATGAAGTGTACGAAACGTAGCTAGCGCACAACACATGTCATTTGACATCGTCCTAATATAGTGGTAATCTCTCCCTCCATTTTGATGTAATAAAATATATTACGTTATAATATCACGTTGGCCGAGGTTCTATGTGCATCTGAGAAAAGGAAAGATCACGTGGGTTCTGTTCTGAAATGTGGTGTGGGAATCGTGCACTGACATCCCATTGGGGGATTTTTTGTAAAGGTTTTCTGCATACAAAATACAAGCAACGACATTTCGGCGAAAGCCTGTGCCCTTAGCTTCAGAGCAGTTCTCCTTTCTACACAAAGATAGATCCAGCCCATCAGACATGGATATTTTTAGGTCAACACATTTTACGGCTCACAAAGATAATTCTTTTATACTTATTCTACACCGAAATCTATGATATTTTAGAACCTCAAAAGAAAAATCGGGGTGGGTTGAACGGGGACACAACCGCATTCGTTTAAGACGTGAATTCGTCTTTGTGTTATTAGAGGAAGGGTAAGATGTAAATGAATAAAGTCTTGGTAGTTATAAGTGAAGTATAATTTTATTTATCAAAGGCCGATGATAATTTAACCAAGCTTTACAACTGACTTCTTTACGAATGCACTAAGGTATGTCGATTTGTGTGATGTTCACATTGAATGCATAATTTTCTTCCAGTCGTCTCGGCAAATTCACGATCATATTGTTCACATCTACTTGAACATTTATTACATAACCAACTATACCATAGTTTCTCCTTCATAACGCAAGCGGCTTATTTGCATAAATGACGATCTCGGCGAGATTAATCTTTCACTTATAGGATCCAGTGGTGGCAATCCATCGGGCTTTGGAGGATAAGCAAATCCATTTGACTTGGACAAAGCCGGTATCTTATTAACATTTAATGATTGGCGACAAGTGTTACACGATTGATACGATGTGATATTTTCATTCGGAAATTCTTCTTTTAACAAAGCTAAATGTTTTAAACTAACTTTCTTCAAATCTCTCATCAAATATTACGAACGTAACCGAACTCATTCTTGACAAACGCCGATTCGTAATGGACATCGGCCCACTGCCATCTCTTTACAAATTCTTCAGAACGAACTGCGACTATAATATTGTTTTTCCTTCTCATTTCATCGTTTAATGTTTCAAAGTCAATATCCATCGGTTCAGGCGGCGGCGATGACGCGCTCGGCTTTCTGACGCTCTCTATACAATCTGCATTGTTCGGCATTAGTCAGTTTGGGCTTTTCTGATTTATTTTGAATTTTTCATTCCAATGATATACGTTTCTTACATTTCTGTTCATATTTCCTTTGCAATTTCTTCGACATTATGAAAATTTTCTTCAACTCAGCACACTTATCGGCTTATAACTTTACAAATTTTATTTTATCGGTTATTATTACTAAGTAACCTTGTTATTATCTACAAATAGACATCAATTTCAACGTCCTATCTCTTCGCATTCTAAAGTTACACTGTCCAAACTCCGCGCGGCGTCGCCATTTTCAGTGTTCACGCGCAAGCGCTACCCCTCCCCCCCTCACAATGCACACCACGGACATAAACCCTCTATCCAACAAAATTTAAATCATTAGATTATCATTTAAACTTTACGAGATATAAGCGCGACAATTCTTGCCATTTTTTGGTCGCTCGAGTTTTCTTAGAGACCCCCCCCCCCTTATACCGGACCGAATTTAAAGACATATTCACATCAAAAGTATATACATTTTTAAGAAAACGGATAATTTCTTTGCATAAATGCACTGACATTCAAATTACATTTCTATTAAATAAATTATTTATGGTAGGAGACGCTTTCCTTCGTGAGTTACATCATCTCAAGTTGAGCTACATATTTTCTGTAATTGTGTCAGTGAAATGTGATGTAAATTCTAATGGATGATGAAAGAGGGTTTGTTTTCACTTTTAATATTTCAAATTGCAGGTACCAGTTGACAAACACGAATGTTTATAGATCCGGGATGTCGACTTGTGTCATCAAGAACCTACCGAATGCAAGCGATTACGCCTACAAACACAGACAAATCGATGGAGGAGAAACGTAAAGAAAGGAGGAGAAACGCAAAAAAGGAGGGGAAACGTAAAAAAGGAGGGGAAACGTAAAAAAATATTGGATTTAGAAAATTAGTTGTTTGCAGTTGATTAGAACCACGACGAACACATTGATTTTAATTACTTTTCTTACGAAAATAATGTAGAGAAATAGGAATTGATGTAGGAGCTACAAAGAATAAAAATAGAAACATTGTTTGCAGCAAAGAAGGAGAAATTATTTCTTCTCGTTACTTTCTGCTCAAGAAGTCCTATTGAAATTTGTTATTTTGCGGGCGTTTAATTTTATTCAAAATATTACTCTCCATTAACACATAGCAGATTCTCTTTGCGTCTCGTGTTATGAAACCGTCTTCAGGGGAAGATTAAATGCTTTGCTTCATGAACGTCATTTACAAAAACGGCATTACGAAGGCAACACACTGAGAATTTTGTATTGAGTTCTGATGTACGTGTGACATTTTAAAAAATTGCAAAAAGTACATTTGGCTGAGTTGGCCCAATATACCGGGTAATTGTGCCATGTGCCTTGGGAAGTAACAACCTTCTCAAATGCCACGAAGAAACAGACGATGCTTTCTATTCACGATATTTTGTAAGGTACTTTTATGTATTTTAATGAATAAATGCAAAATATTACCACAAAATACACAAAACTTGAATTTAGTTAAGATACATACAGAGAAAAAGCTGTAATCAATTGGGGAACTCAAGGCATATCCAGGAGTCTCAGCACAAGTAAATCTGTGTAACCTTCTTCATTTTAATCTCATTCGTAATATAGGAATCTGTATATATTGATTGAAGATTGTTCTTGGGCTGTCACCCCGCTGCCTTACTCAGTAGCTCCGAGGCCACCTGATCAAATTATCAACTGTTCGGCTAAACTACAGTTCGTATCCTGACGCGGAGAGTCCAGGGCCCATCGATTCCATCCCAGGGATACGACAGGGTCGCGCTTTACCCCCGGGAGAGGACCCCGGTACCCACTGCATAGGAGGCTGGATGGGCCCCAGAGCCGGTCTGGACGCAGAGGCTAGACGAAAAATCCTCTGCCCCTGTCGGGGATCATTATTAAAAATAATACTTGCCACTTCTTGCGACATTTGGATGATTCTACGATGAATTTGTTTAATGTCTGACTTTCTCTGTGTCTTATTAGCAATGTACAGTGAATTCATTGATAAGTTGAAGGCAACAGGCTCCCGGCTGTACCTCCATG